GAAATATGGGGGGGGGGGGAGGGAGGGAGGTCGTATCCTAGAACTTCTCCCCAATGCCGCGAGGTGCTCTGAAAGTAATGCCTCAGCTTACAGTGAATTGTGCAGTACGCCTTTGGCCTTCCATTATCGGCAGTATTTGCTCGGCCTCGCGGGTCCCGTAGAAGAACTTAATGGCTATTTATACATGCTCGAAGAAGGTTAAGAGCTCTTGTCCGCTACGGGGGAGTGTAGGGATCTTCGGCTGGTAGCGGGTATAATGCCAATGCTTTTATCTACCCATTTCACAACTGCTTATATTTGTCAGTGAAAAATAGACTTCCTCCACTCTATAGATCTTCTCACATGGTCCAACTGATCAGTTGCTTCACCGCCATAGCTCACCATTCACCAGAAAGCATGTCTGATGACAGATTAATTGAGCCTCCCATTGTTGTATGTCTTAGCTCAATGGAAAAAAATGTGCTGACAGCTGAGGGGCATTGTGGAAAAATTTAGCTGAAGAACTTTAGATGAGCGAACATTGCTATTGTGGCCATCGTGCCGGATATGCGGAAGCAGCACGCGAGCACCAATTCGGCATCGAACGGGAAATGCTATTACCACATCAGGCACTAGAAGCGATGGATGTTCTCGTGGCGATGAACGAACAATAGACGACCGTGTACATTATGAGGCTCGTCGTCCTTTTGAGGGCGTTAAAGAGCTTTTCTTGGATTTGGTGCTTGAAATACGCTTGAGTTGTGCTTGAAGAGCCCAGTGAGTGCAGCAAAGAGGCCTAGTTCGAAGCAAAAGAAAGCAAAGGGATCTTGGGGGAGTGAAGGATATTGGAGGTCTTGAAAATCAAAATCAGTCCCATGGAAGAGGTTGAAAGGCCACAGAAGCCTCAAAGGTTCCTTGGTGCAGATCGGCTTCGGAGGGGGGGGGGGTCAGGGGCATGTTGCACTTTCCCTACTTCTCGTTGTCATATTAATTGCCACAGGAAAGCTACATAGTAGTTTTTGCAAGACTTGTCCAGTATCACTTCATGCTTCACATGATTTCACAAATTTCTACTTGATGGCTCGATACGACACGGGAAGCAGCGAAAGTGCAAAATGCTCCCCCTCCCTCCCCCGGGGAAATTGGCTTTAGAGTCCTTTGCAGATATACTGTTTACTAAACACTTGTCCGAATTAGGGATCAGTTTTGTAGAAATGTTCCCTTGAGGGGGAAGTAGGCAGTTGTTCCGTGTGCAGTTTGACCCTCCGAACGCTACTATCATATCCGTTCAGCGCAGAAATGCCTAGTGTTCTCGTCTAAGGCCTGTTTTGCACTAGCGTTTATGGCGCGGGGTGTCAGGCGTTTTTGTATTGAGTGAGAATGATATTTATGTTAAGGGTGTTATTGCTAGCCCCAGCTGCAAGTAATATTCCGCATAGGGTCCGGAAACCAGCCCGTTTTCAAATACTGCAGCAGTGAAAGGTGCCAAATTGTGGTGCCAAACTTCTTAGAATTTTTTTTTATTCAGGGAAATGCTTTTTCAACGATCTTGTAAGGGTCTACGCGTAATACATCACTGAACAGGGTACAGCATCGTGATGTGTAAAATGGTGGTGTGAGTACGACCCCTTCCCTCCCCTCGAAGGAGGGTCTCGGTACTACTCCCTTCTCCAAGGAGAGCCCCGGTACGATTCCACCCCCTCCCCTTCCCCTACACCTTCCTACCACCTACCACTTTCCTACAGGTGCCCAGCTTCCTATTAGTTTCTCCAGAATTTCCCACCAAATTTCCCATTTTCACACAGAAAAATGTTCCATCGAACGGGGGAGGGGGGGCAAATAGCACATTTGAAACGGAAAACCGCGAAAAGTCAACAACCAGGAGAAATTTTTTTCCAACGCGGCAAGTTCTCTCAGCACACGTCTACCCCCCCCCCCTCCCAACAACTACCAGATGCTACCTACTTCTCAGCCGGCCAAGCTACGACCCCCCCCCATTGTGTTTCACAACGATGCTGTACCTGCCACTTGCAATACCTTATCTGACAGAAAAATCGCAACGCGTAAGAAAACGATGGTTTTGTGCTTTTCCTTCTCGTTATGCGCTGCCCACCATACCTAACTGCGCATCGTTGCGGTATTTGAATGCCTGTGCTACCTATACTATGACTTGCGGACCCTAGCCGATCTAGATGGCGGTGTTTTCAATACGACTTGGTACACTCAGTGGCCTCAGGGATGCCAACGACCTTATCAGTAAAACAGAATTTGATCCAAGGGTCATACTTTTGATAGCTGCGCCATTTGCTTTTGCTCCATTGAAATGAGCCCTTATGATCAAGGTACGAACAACGCCGAGGTGATGGCTTGTCTGTGTTCTTTTTCTCAACGGCTCTGACTGCTCGTGCAGGTTGGAGAAGTCGAAGCACCTTGTTCCCTTTTATTTCGCTCAGTAGGCAAGCCTTTCCTTCCTTTGGGGGTTCGGGAGGAGAACCATTCTCCATCGATCAATCCTTTTCTGGAGTGCTCTACTTCTTGGGTATTTGCGGGAGAAATAGGGATTTATGCACCTCGTTGAAAGTATACGTTATACTAAGATTAGCTATCCATCCAGTACGCTGTAAGTCACTGAAAAGGACTCGTTCTAGGTGGTGAAGATGCGAACGTCGAACTGTGGTGAAGGAGCGGCGACGTGTGTTTCATGTCTGGCGAAACGAGACCCGTTTTGTGGATGGTGTGTGAAGAACAGCATCTGTACCGAAGAGGACACTTGCGAGCGAGTTTTGCCAAAGACAAGCAGTGGCTGGTTGGATTTCCAAAACAATCGCTGTCCGAAGTGAGTTGATCCGGATGGTGTTGAAAGTACACGAGGTTTCTTTTGGAAGGGATTAAGTGGAATCGCCCAGAATTCATCGGAAAGAAATAAAGAGAGAACTGGTCTGATTATGAAAGAACGAATTAAAGACAATCACATTTCAGCATCAGAGGTGTTGTACCGGATAAGATCCAGATTACAACGGCCGACTTCCTCAATGTAAGTTTAGCGGGGGTTAGTCCAGGGTAAGGTTGTCGAGGGATAATCAAGTTTATTTTCAGGTGAGCTTAGAGAACATGGGTGACACCAAAGGACGATTACAATGTTCGTTTCGTTTTTCTGATGGAAAAGTTGTGAACAGCGAGCCGGCTAAGCAAGATCCGCATGATGGGTAAGTTCTCACTTCACGTACTTCCAGAATTCCAAATAAAAGGGAATAAGGTTTGTTTGACTTTGGAGGGGAGAAATAAAACATTGTGCTTCGTTTGGGTGGATGAAACATAACTCACTGTTCACTCTTACCTGCTCTGGCGCTGTTAAGCTTAGAAGGAGAGGGGGGGGGGGAGACATCCGTAAGCGCTTGGGCATTCATGTCAGCAAGTCGTCGGTCAAGCTTTGAGAAGTCGAGTCAAATGTATACATGTGACTATAAATTCCTTTCGAGTACCCTGTAAACTCCTGTGCTAGTAGTGTATAAAAGGATAAAGTCTTCGCCGTTGATCAATCCCTTGTTTGGTGATTCTTGTCGTGACACGCATTCTACTTCCATTCAGAATCGTAGTGGCTTATTGAATGCGATGTGGCCTATACAATGACTTGCGGGGGCCAGCCGATGTACAAGTCAGTGTTTTATCCTCTCAAGACACAAATCTGGTACCTATTTACCGGTCCCCGGGGTAGAGCGCTGTGTTGGCCTGGCGGCAGTCGACCCTGAATTTGAACCCGGCCCGGCGGCGAGTGATGTGACGCCCCCACTTCCACTACACACCCTCGCGCCTCCTAGTAGTGTGTACCATATCCAGTATATTCTGTTTCCAACTATCGACCAGCGTAACAGGTTTGAAAGGTGTTCACTGTGCCTTGACGGCGGGGGGTGATAGCCAAGGTTTACAAGGTGCTGACCAACGTTTCGGTATTTATATGTTGTACAGTTTGAGGAGGATGTTTCGCACGCCATCTGTGTGCCCTCAGGGCACATCGTTCTTGCGAAATCTCCAACGAGGGGGTGTTTATGGCGCTGCAGCAAAAATTATTCGGGTAGTTGATTTTTCTCGGCTTCAAGCGACGTAAAATATGAAGGGGTCGTACTTGCCTCTATCGGTTGTAAAGGGGGAGGGCGGTCATATTTTACTTTCTGCCTTTCTTAGGAGTGATGGGGGAGTTGACTTCTGGGTGATTATTCCTGTTCATGCGTACTAAAAAGAGTGCAGAAATTTGCGGAACATTCTGAGAATTGGTGAGAATGGTGGGCGGGTTCGTATTGCCCTCGGCTGTTCCCTGTTTCACATGTCCGTTTATCCCTCCCCACTCCCCCTCCCCCTCTGCTCTCGACAACTGCAATTTCGATGAGTAGGACAGAGCGCCCGTAGGGGGGAGGGGGGTAGTACGCGACTCGAACTAAGATCCGCAATCAATGAGTGCTGCCTTGGTGCGCCCTCAAGATTATTAGCGTAATGCTCTGTCCGCTCATCCTGCCACGGGTCATATTCATAAACAGATTCTGTGTATTGAGCGATAGCGACTGGTAGTCCCATAGCCACTGCACCTTCTTCATTGCCCTTCATCTTCACCTAATGGCGGACGCACAGATGAGTAGGGTTTGGTGGCCATGAGTCCTTAAGCGCATTTCTCCGGCCATCCAGTTATTGAGGAATGCCCGTTGAGTAACCAGTCTTTCTTATCTTGATAAATCAAATGCGGTGCAAGAATTTAATGGCTGACTTGAAAACTTACGCGGCGGTCTCCTGATATTTGGAATTTCTTCTCATCAGAACGTAGCCTGTTCTGCGAAATCTGAGGAAGTACAACTCTCATGGCTCAAATATGAGTGACAAGCGTGCTAACACCATCGCAACCTATAAGCACTCCACCCTATCGTAGCGGTACCACCTACAAAGAACCCCGTTTGTGAATGCCTTGGTGTTTGCCTTTTGAGCTTTTGTTCTCTCATCCTTCCACTCTAGTCCTTCACCCGCACCTTCACTGGTCACTTCGCCTTTCGCTTTTCCGCGTGCTCGTCCAATAGACAACACTAATCAACTATGAAAAAAAAGAACGTCATTTAGGGCTTTTTCCACATCGTTTCCTCGGTTTTTTCTCTGCTTATGAGTCAATTATCACCCGCAAATTCATATTTGAACCCCACTACACCACAACTTACTGTCGTGTAATGTGTCTTAAGTACGTTAGCTCTACAAGTAGTTCTGGTTCCTGGTACTCTTAGAATTGCCGTTGCTGTTCTGTAAGTCGAATGCATGACTTTTGTAGAAGCGGCGAACAATAAAAATCACTCCGAGAAATCGCTGCTACCGTATTCCGTTCGCTTTTTTTGTTGTACAAGACAGAAGACCTTCAGATTGTCATTACCACCTCCAGCATTGCCCGCGTGATGTACATTTCACCACCTTGACTCACAGGAGCGTTGGTTAGGAGCCAAGTAAAGGAGAGGGCTCTGCAGTGGCCTGGGTTACGGTAGCAGCGGTTCACCGGAATGGGAAATCTCTGGAAATATCTTGTATTCAACAACGCACTGAGGCACTCTTTCTTCCACTTCAGCATTCCTTTCAGAACGTTACGATGCGCCACTCCACCCATAAATCGGCTTCCAATGATTCCTCCAAACGAGTCACATCATCGAGCTACGTTGAGCATCGTCGCTGAAGGTAGGCAATTAGAGTTTTTTCGATGAATGAAGGATTAGCTCTGGAAAGCACCAATTAATTGTTCCGGTTTGGTTATGGTTTTTCTAATAGAAAGCTTTTCTCGTCATAGTCGTAATTTATGTTTTTACTGAGAAAACTCTTCACATCCAAGAGCTATCCGCGCCAATTATTACAGCGTAGTGCAGGGATCAAAAGGTTTTGTTTTCAGGTCGAATAACTCCAATAGCTTCAACGAATTTTTCGTTCTACGATTGTAACAGATACACGACCTGTTCAACTTGTGCGAAGAGCGAGTTTCCTTGTGACTGGTAAGCTTTCATTTGTGGCTGCTGATTTTATGGTTATTTGGATCCCATTGTTGTCTGAAAATCAAGTGTCTCTGGAATTCAGGTGCCTGGAATCCAATGAATGCGTCGCTGGAAAACTCACTGAAGACAGATGTCGGAAGCAGCACATTGTAAATGGGTTGAATGTGAGTGTTGGAGTGTCTTTGCCACTTTGAGAAAGAATGCATAGCAGGGTACAGCATCGTTGTGTGAAACACATGAGGGGGGGTCGTGGTTTTCCGCTGGAGAAGGGAGGTTTATTTCGCGTGATTTTTCCTGTTTCATGCGTACTATTTACCCCCATCCCCTCCCTACCTCCCTTCCCACCCTCACCCCACGCTCGACATAAAATCTTTGGGTGAAAAACTGGAATATGTGGGAAATTGGTAGGTGGGTGTAGGGGAAGTGGGCGGGGAGGGGGTCGTACCCAGACCCTCATTTAGATTGGGTGGGGGGGGGGTGGATAGCTGACTCACCATTTCACGCATCACGCATGCTGTACCAGATGCATAGTTGAAGGTATAGTCGGCGGCGCTCTGTGCCTCGCAGGTGGAGCTTAGGAACAGACTATGTCCTATTATATGCGTGGCCTTCTCTCACTTGCTTGGCTGGGAAAGGCGGCGTTGTGAGCAAGCTCAGCTTCATTCAACTAATACATGGAGTGGGTGCCCGTCTATAGCTGATTTGTCGCAGGTTCGGCTTGAGTGGGGGGGGTTATGTTTGACCGGTTAGATTTTCGGCGATGAAATGCCGATGTTTCTATGACGAGCATTCTGTAAGGCTACGCTTTCACGTCAAATCGGCGCACTGAACGGAAAAATCAACAGTTCGGACGAAATTCTCCTGAGGACCCATGTGAATATAACTACTCTCATTTCAGCTGCCCCCTCCCCCCATTATGTGCCGCGCTTACTGGAACGAACCTGTATACTTATCCCAATGTGCCCACCCTCCCGCAAAGCTTTGTAGCTAATTAATAAATTCCAAAGGTCTGGAAAAACTTTGCCAGTCTAGAAGCAATTTTGGCATGGAAGTGGGACATTAATTTTCCAAACCTTTCTCGTAACTTCACAGATAACGCAGAATGCGAAATGGAAAGGATAAGAATGTCGAGTGAAAAACATATGATCCCTGCAAACTAGGGCGTGTGACGAGGCGTGGATTGGAGCGCGGAGCTCAGGGTGGCCGTTTCCACCAATAGTGCCATACAGAGTCCGCAACAGATGGCGGGAAAGGCTCACCTCGCTGCGCGTCGAGTCACGCCCTTCACACGCCCTGTTGTTTGTGGAAATCATGGCTTATTTATAGCAAGTTTAACGTCGTTTCACTTATCCATTGGCTAGAGCGGGTGATTTCAGCGAGAAGGTCATTCACGTCGAAAAGGTCCACAGAAGTGTCCTCACATTGTTGCGCCACAGACTAAACTCTACGTAGCGGCAGGTGAAGTAGGGGGAATATCTCTGTGAAGGTAAGGGAAATGTTGGTAACGTTCTTGGCTACCTCAAAACAAATCAATTTTCAGATGCAAAATCTCGACCCGATATTCATGACAGATTTTCGATGTCAGTTTCGAGTGGGTAACATCGAACATGAGAAATCGGCCGTGAAGACATTTGATGACAATATCATGTTAGTATTTCATTGATTTGCTATTTTGGGTACCACTCATTATTCTGTGCATCGGACAGTTTGATAGTGCAGTCCACACTGATCGCATGGGCGGGAACAGTCGACCACTCTGCCTTCCTCATTGATGCATAGCTCCTTTCAAGACGGTCAAGGGGAGGAGTGCGCCAGTGAACAAGGCACAGTGGCCTCACGGTCTCCGCCTATGCGATCATTGTGGACTGTCCCTCTGATCAGTTAATACTTTACCTTCTGATGGAGTCTATTTGCAGATGCGACGAAATGCAGTTCGATCACTACGGTATTGGCCTTTCGGGTGGAACTTCACCAGTTGAGTTCAATGTGGTGTGGTCGTCAGGTGACTCGACGAAGAGGCACACGCTAGACAATGTTGGAGGAGTATCAGTGGAGGTAAGGGAGAGTCATTGTGTTCACCAGATGCGGATTCCACGCTCATCGTATGGGCGGGGCCAGACCTATCTATCGTTGATGCGGCTCACCTTTCTAGAACAGTGGGGGTGCTCCCAAAATGACATGACGGCAGGCGTTTTCAGCCATGCAGCCAACGTGGAATGTGCATCTAAATCACCTCTAATCAATATTAATCACTAAATCGGATTACGGTTGGCCGGCAGGGGTAATATGGGTTGCAACTGTGCGTGCGGTCGCATTGCGGCTGTCATCGTGTGCTGGTGAGGATGAACGGGTTAGATGGATTGGAACGAGATTTGGTAGAATTTCGGTGTTTTCATGCATAGAATAAGTTAGCGGGTAGTGGGTTTTAATGCCGAAAGTTGGGATAACCGCACTGCTGCCGCGCGCGTCTGATGCGCGCCATTCACCTTTTCCACCACCCATCCGTTTCGATTTGAAAGCATTCTTGGGAAATATGTCTGAGGTTTTTCTGTTGATATCTTGGAGCACTGAGCTGCTGAATAAAAGCTCATTTGAATAAAGGCTATATAGGTACTTTTCGAGGAGGGCGCGACTTGCCGTTGGGGAAGTTTATCACAAAATCCGACCCTTCAGTATTTCCTCTTCTGGTAAGACCCCATCCCCTCAACCCATCTCTATTATTACC